GTCTTACACTGCCAGAGCTACACCTGCATAAACAAAACCCAGTCTTGAATTGCAGCACATCAGGAAGCCATACATAGAGATTGTTTTTCAATATATCCTGCATCGATATTTGCTACAGGATGAACTAGAATTGTACTTGATCCCAGGTAACAACCATTTTGTTGAACAGGGACAGGGACAAACTGGTCAGGAACAATTTGCAGGCAAGTTCCTCCAGGAGAAGCTGGGAATTATCCTAGAATACAGGGTGCATCCCACTGGTGTCTACACCCCATCACTTTTTCTCTACAGTGTTACTGAAGTACAGCAGCACCAGCATCTTAAGGAACAATTTGACTAAGCCAACTCCAGAACTTTCTCTATCGCACACTGGTTAATACATAGCAACATGCAAACCCCCTACATCAAGGAAGATCATGAACACACATGTTTCTTCAGCTCTACCAGATATTGCAGATAGCTATGGCTGCTTATAGTCTGCAGTGTGACACTAGAACAATTATTGTAGAAAGGAAAATAGATATCAATTTCCTGCTTTGCACTGTCAGAAGATAGAAAACAGACTTACAGATCACAAACTGTTCTACTAAAGTGACAGGCCGTTGTTCTGTTGCTTAGTTGAGACCACCAATATCTGTCAAATTAAAGCATAATTATAACAATCTGTATTTCTATATAGATGAGATAGATAAAATTACTGCTACTGATCAGCAAGTTTGTCAGTGAAGCATGCAAACAGACCATAGAATTGTTCATATTACTGGAATCCTATCCATCCCTATACATGCCTTACCTCTTTCCTGAGCAAATATTGAACACTTCTTACCACATGCCTGTCTAATGTTAAGCACTATTGGGAAAACAGGTCAGGATCTTTAGACCCTAGTGTGATAAAGCAAGGATTTTTCAGGTTTGGTGATACCACAGCACTTTATTAAACAGAGTCATGTTAGCCTAGCCATTATCTTACAAATGCAATGTTAGCAATAAGAACCTGAGTCCTTAAGATCACAATGGGTGAACAGCAAGAACCTACAATCTTTTAGGCCACATGACTCATCTCTCACATTTTCCAGATAATTAGACCTGAGTGAGAAAGCCCACAGTGGGCTTCATGGAACCTTATAGCACTCTTATAGACAAAATTTCTGGGGAGAAGATAGGTAGCATTTTTAAATGTTTAATACATAAAATATTTGCAGTTATAGGGGAAAGCCTTCAGACAGGAGGACCTGTCGTGCTTTATAGATGGTCAGAGTCCATCTAATTCAGTTTCCTACTTTACAACCTGAATTAGGATAATGCTTCAGGCTCCAATTACATTGCTCTAGAGTTAGAGCTGTCCTGCCATACACGAATGGAGACATGGTTGTAAGATTAATTCAACTTTTAGGTCCTGTTCACCTACAGAATCACAAGGCCACAGCCATGACAGAGGATTTTACAGAACAGCTATTTGATGACTCATTAAGAGCTTGAAAGTTAAAACAGGGCACAAAGAAAACTGGTAGCCAGAGGCCCTACAGGCTAACACTGAACTGTCTACTATCTCCTACACGTGCTAGAGTTTTGTTATTTCTTGTTTTCAGACCTCAACTTAGTGGGATGCAGAAGTCTAACCTGGAGGTGACAAACACACACGTCACCATTATGCCAGATAAAGATTAGATCATAACAAAAAGCAAAAGCAAGACAAAAATCAGAAATTTTACTTTCCGTTATCAGTGGGTTTTGATTGTCCAACGTTAGGGTTATGCCAGTCAAGGAAGGCTTCAGAAGAAAGGGAGGCTATCAGCTCAGTTCATGGGTTTCTTCTTAACTAGCAGTAATTATTGTTTGCTCTTTCTAAAAAAAACCCCTGCCAGCCACAAGCCATTCAACTGCTGCTGTAGTAGTCTCTTCCATATAGATATGAGAGCTTCCAGATCCACATGATACCCAACAGAAACACAACCTTTCAACAGGAGCTAGTGATCGGTTTCAGTTAGATATTTTCCTTTCCAGTTAACTCATTTCAGATTTGAGTTGGTTTGTTTGTTTTGCTTTTGTAATGTAAAAAAGATGAGACAGATGTTTGAATGTTGGATTGCTCTTTCAACTACCTCTTGCACTGGTATTCAGCTACAGTGACAGCTACAAAATAGAAAACGCTTCATTGCTTGCTACAGTAGTATAACATTGTAAGAGTCTGTATCAGGCAGTTAGGGGCTGTGGAGTTTAAATCCTCAGAACTCTTGTAGAAAACTGGGCATCTAACAGGTCACTGCTTAACTAGTTGCGATAGCAGGAGTCAACTTGAGCAAGATACAATTGCCTCATATATTGCTCTAGCCTTTCTCAATCCCACTAGAAAAGTCAACTAAGTTTTTCTACAAGGCATCTCTGTTTCTTAGAACAGCAGTGGCTGTAAATGGCTAGTAAAAATAACATCCATGTCTGATGTTCTTCTAGAGGTGAGATGAAGTCTGTCAGACCCAGATCATAAGTCTGTGTTGGACATGCAACAAGATGCCAGCTGATCTATGTCATTAGCTACAGAAATTAACTAAGCAGAACTAAATTTATGTAACTGCATACTGGAGAGGCCCATAAATATCTAAGGAGTGTCTGTTCACCTGTGCATCCACAGAAATCCTTCATTCATGTTGTTTGCTTCTATACTTAATTTCTTCTGTCCTGCCTCATTCAAGATTTAATGGATTGAAATATGTATTGAGTGTTCCCTAATAGACTTAAGTAAGGTTAGAAGGGACAATAAAGTCTTCCTGTTTCAGCTCATCCATTTAGTAACCCCACCAAAGGATCTCTTTCAAATATTTATCTGATTTCCTTTCTGAACCACACAAACTTCTTGCCAAAGTATGTTGTGGAGAAATTCTATGGCTCCACTATTGGTTGAACATGCAACCATAGCACCATATTTTCTTTTGAATGTGACTTCCACCAGTTTAATTCCCCCTGGTTCTTGTTCATCTCTTTAGTCAATTCTTTTCCAAACTGAAGCATCTCAGCTTACTTGATCATTTCTTGAAAGAAAGCTACTCCAGACCTCTGACCATCCTCACTACCCCTCTGAGCTCTACTGCAGTTCCACTATATTTGAGATAAGGGGTCCAAAACTGCACAGTGTTCAAAGATCTGTGATCTAACATACAGTGCCATGATGCTCCTTGTTTTGTTCTCTGTTCTTACCTAATAATTGCTAACATTTTATATGTTTTGTTTGTTGCCAAGCACTGAATTGATGCTTCCACGAACTGTACCATAACCACAGGATTTCATTCCTCCATGGTAATGGTCGGTTCAGAACCCACCTTTTTTTTTTAATTTGAAGCTACATTTGGGGGTTGTTTTTGCATATGGTATTTACTTTACACAGTTTAAATTCTTCAGTCAGAACTCAGCATTACTGAGTCCTGAATGACTTTGGATTATCAAACTTGCCTCACTGCTCACCCTTTAATGTTTAAGTAGCTATGTTAAGCAGCATGTACCTTGCTGAACTCAACCGACAATCCACCTCCATTGACAGAGCTGGCTATTTACATCAGAACATCTGTTTACCCATCCTTCTCTGAGTAAATTCTGCATACCAAAGCCTGGCCCCTAATTCTATGGCCTATAGGCTTCCTTAAACAGACTTCATGGACTTAGATTCCCAAAACATTTTTGGCTGGTAGACTAAATCACTCATCTGTATGTTTGCTAATCCCTTCAAAGAGCCTGAAGACATTTGAAAAGCAGGACTTCCCTTTGCAGAACCAATGCTGTCTCTGCCCAGGTAGACACTAATTCTGCCTTTTATTATAGTTACTACTGATTTGCCCAGTAAACCTGACAGTTGGTTAACAGACCTGCAATTTCCCAGATCCCTCACAGAATCTTCTTTATAGACTAGCATCACATTTATCACCCTCTGCTCCTCAGGAACCAAGAAAGGGAAGTGAGTGGGATACATGTTGCTAATATTAATCCAGATATTTCAGCCCTGAGTTATAAGAATTCTTGGGAAAATGTTATACTCATAGTGACTTGTTAGTACTTAGTCTATTTGTACCATAGACTGTTATAGTTGCTTCAAGTTTAGACAGATCTTCTGCTGAGTGTTTCAACTGGTATGTTTCATACACAGTATTTTAATCCTGTAAGTGTGTGTGTATACACACACATGTTGCTTTGCAAGGAGGAAGACTTTCTATCCCCATGTTAAAGTCACAGGAACATTAAGAAACCTCTCAGTCAGTGGCACATCTGAGAAGAGTCCAGGTACCTTCCTTCACAGCTATCCATTAGAATAGCTTCCCCAGCTGGAAAATATATTCAGAAGCTTTGATAAGAGTGTAAAATGTATAGTGAGCTATAAGACAGTCTTATATAAAAAAGATTTTGCAGCAGTGTCATCTGTGCTTCCTATAGTAACTTTAACATACATTACATAGAAGTATTAAACAGCCTAACCAGAGTCCAAGCTTTTTGCAAGCTAAGCAAGCACATTTTCTAACTATTAATGTCATTTTTATAACATTCTTATTCATTGTTCTTCTCAGGAAAGGGAGATAGACCTTCAAAAAAGGCGTTCAGAAAGTCATTTGACTCATCTTACACACTATTTGCAACATATTTTGTGCATACAAAAGTACATTCTAAAACCCAAAAGGAAGAGATAAATAATAAATAGCTTATGAAGTATATTGTGCCACCTGAATAAGGTACAGAAGACAGACACACAAATTCTAACTTACTAGCTTAATAGGCTCTTAAACAGCACGTTTCTATCCACTCTATTCTCAGTAGTAAGATATGTAATTTTAAGTTAAATTCCTTGCATCCAACAGATCCTTAAAATGGTTTTTCTTCTTTAGTATTCACATCTGCAGAATCCTGGGCAAACAACTCGCTAATTGAATTTGACATTCTAAATCACAATCAGCTTTATTCTGTACTTTTTTCAAACCCAAAGGAAAAGTTAAAAGTTAATGCTGATAAACCAAAAAGCTGACCTTTGACTTCTGAAGAAAACTGAGCCAGGTGTCGGGTTACGAAGAGTCGCAGTTGCTGATTCAGGTCACAGGACAGAATGTTAATGTTCCAGGAACGAATTCCTGCCCAACAAAAAAAAAAACAAAAACCAAAAAAAAACAAAAAACACACACAAAAGTGAGCTGTTATTACATTACTTCAGAAACAGAAGTGGAGATAAAGAAGTTAACAGGACACACAAGGACCAGTGATGCTCTTCCAGAAGAGCATCCTTAGGATGGAGAAAGTCTTCAGAAGCAGAGGGCCATAAGATGTTTACCTTCCATAAAACACTTATCCCTGAAGTACTTGCAGTGAGCAAGTCTTCATTCAGCCTGGGCTTCATGCAAGTGAAACTAACAAGCTACAAGGGATTGAGGCTCAATAAATTACACTACTGCCTAACCAAGCAAATACATTATGTTAATTTTACATCTTCTGCATTATTGAGCATTGGTCACCAGTAGAGATGGTCTACTGGATGGTTAAACTACTAAGCAGCTCAGAGACACCAGCTTCTCTGCTCTTATAGCCTGTGCATCCTCCAAGTCACAAAAGTGCCCCCCCCCCAACTCACTCTGCCTAATTACTCCTTCAAAGCCCCTGATCCCACTGAGACCCTTTGAATTTGCTCTTTAATCTATATAATCTTTGTAAGCTAATCGCCTTCATATCACAGCAGGAAGCAGCATCTGCTCCCAGAGCAAGTGGCACCATGCCATGCTGGGGAAGTCACCTTCAGACCTCAGTGTGAGCAGTTGTACATTCTGGATGACACCAAACACTACAGATCACAGATCTTCACATCCCAGTAAGGAGCAGCCTCTCCTAGATGGTGTGATACTACACTTTGGTACCATGAACAAAACCAGGATATCAGCATGAATCACTACTCCAGCCTCTTGTGCTGCTGCCTGCTGAAGTACAGATGTTGAAGGCCAACACCACAGACTTCTAAGAGTTAACTGAAACAAGAATTTCAGCCCCAGCATTTGTTCATGGGATTCTCACTGACAGTTCTTCCACCATCTTCTGGACATATGTCCTCTCTTGCATAAAATATAAAGTTTTATTGTATCTGATATCTGCCTTCTTTCAAGTGATTTTTCATGGAGATTATCATTCCCAGTTACTGCAGTTCTAGTTCTCCAGCACAGTAACTCCACATTGTGCAACAGCTTCTGCTGGCCACTGGTGGGAAACAGGATCTTCTAGTATACAAGCTCCAGCTTTCTACACATAACCAAGATAGAGTTAGTAATCATTGCATCACACAGTTCAGTGGTCTCAAGGCCTGTAGAATCTACAGCAGCTCAAGAAAACTTTGTTCTTGGTTTCTTTTTCTGGTGACAGCTGACACAGTAGAGGAATATAGCTTATTTATTACCTGACAACATGCACTGCCAAGTACACAAAAACCCCTCAGTAAACCCTCTGAATGTTGGGGGGGGGAGGGGGGGACGGACCAAAAGCAAAAAAAACCCCCACCACACCACCAAAACACCACCAACCAACTTACCACCACCTTCAGTGTCACAGAACATCTATTCCTCTCAGTTTGGGCATGGGATAGGAACAAATGAAACATGTAATAAAAGACAGGGAGCAAGAATTGGAACAAAATGTTTCATATGCTATACTCTTGGAAAGCATGATTGTTTAAACAAATGTACAATGTAAGTGCATCTTAATGCAGTACTGACCTGGACAGGAACAAGGTGGCACTCTGCAGGGCAAATCCTGCTGACTCTAGCTGCTGTGTCACTGTCATGGTGTCCTACTGCAGCAATAAATGCTATCTGAGGTACTGCTACATCGTCCAGGATGCAGAAAGAATAGATCCTCTTTCAGAGCAAGGAAAGGGAAGAGTGAAATTATCGTCTCACTCATCATCCTACTTGTAACAATTTATTCAACATTTTTTCCCCTCTTTCCTTATGCCCATGTGAACTTTTTTATTTCCTGCTGAGGTAATTGGCTTATAAGATTTGGCATTTCCGACTAATATAAGACCTAGTCTTCCAGATATTGTTTCAAAACTGGACAAAAGTCACATAGGAAAAGAAAAATAAGACCAATATTTATTAGCATGTTAGAATAAGTGTTGTTCAGGCATCCCACAGATACACAATGCCACTGCCTAAGAAGCACTATACATGAAAACAAGCAGGTTCCCATAGTGTCCTATATTCACTATTCCATTCTCCTGAACCAACATATAGAAAGAAGTCTGGGAATACACACTTCTTGGATCAGCCAGAGCAAGAGATTTATTCACTAAAAAAAAATCTCTTTGTGGTGGTTTGGGGGTTGTTTTTTTTTTTTTTTTTTTTTGCGCAGACAGGGCACCACAGCCAACAGAACAAAGACATAAAATAAACCCTATTTTTTTCATCCTTTAGAAAACCCTATCTAGATGTATAATATGTAACATTTAGGACCAACTTTGCTTGCCAACTTTATTTGCCAGTTTTATTAATCTGATTGTTATCAGTGCTACAAGCCCCTTACCGTACTTGCCAAGTTGCAGAAATGCTTTTCTGAAGGGCAGAGGGATTTTGTTATTTACACTGCTTTGTTTCTGAGGAAATCAAATCTTCTGCTAAGCAGCCTATTCTACAGTCGCACAAACCTCATGTGGACCCTCTCCAGCAAGCTATCTCTTAAGAAATGGGAATCATCATGTGTGTACCTTTTCCACATTTCTGGAACTCCCTGAATCAAGATGTTAGCTGTCTCTAACATTATAATGTGCTGTCTGTGGACAGATCTCAAGACCCTGCTGTCATTTTAACTATTCTTACTTTTTATATCCATCTTCCAATTTGCAGATCTTGGTCTATTTCAAGAAGAGGTCGTTCTCCCATTTCACAGTGGGGAAAACTCCTCTATGACTTGCTGGAGGTCCTACTCCATGTCAGTGACAGAGGCAAGTCTGAAATCCAGGTTCCTAGCTCCCTCAGCAGTTCACTTCTGCTGTTAGAAGCTTACCAATACTGCTTAAATGGCTCTCATGCAAAGAAGTGTCTGCACCTGGCAGAATTTCAGCAGGTTTCTGGTCAGACAAAACTAACTGCAGAACTTCTGCTGTGGCAATTACAATTTGTGTTGCAAAATTGGCATTTACGTTTTCCTCTCCAGTGGGAATTCCAAGGTTATTGGCATATGACCACAGACTCAAAGAGCAAAATCCATTAGTTTACAGACTGATCTGTCACTATTTCAAAGATTCAGAGAATGGATAAAGATGCAGGTTGGCACACCAGTTCAGTGAAGTGCCAAGCAAAGATGATCATCCTGTTGTGCAGAAAGCAGGAGTAGTCCGTTCGAAGAGCGGTTTTCAGAGGCCAAATTGTCATAATCTGACCTACCCCTACCGAATAAAGCCATCCCTTCAAAAAGGGAATGAAACACTGCTCTCAAAGCTGCTGGTAGGTGCCCTGCCAGCAGAGATGGATGGAAAAGACGCTGAAATTGAGAAATTGGACAAGATTTGACATTTTTACACCCACACCCTCTCTTAAATTGCACTGTCCATCTGTTCCTCAGTACTGTTGACGCTTGAGAGGAAAACAGTCACAGTAGTATCTCTGAATAACGCAGTTTGGCAAATAGTTACAACTGTTATCACTGGCATCTTTTAAACCAATGTATCTTGAAAACGGGTGGGGGGAGAAGAAGTGCATGCAAAGTCAAAAGGCTGTTCTCAGAGGTGTACTAAACTGCTTATTAGAACAGGGATTCCCTTAAGGTCCTGATGTAGCTGAGAACCTCTCCTTTATCTTTTTTTGTAGGAGCCATCAGAAACTGCAACAAAGCAAGAACTACCATCTCACCACCTCCTTCCCCTGCGCTTTTAAACAACACTGCACGTAATATACAAAGACTAATTCAATGCCAAGTCCTCTCGGCACTACCACAATATGGATAACAAAGGAACAAAATGTTATGGCAGTCCTGTCTCGCTCTCTGTCATTCCTGAAGCAGTTCACTATTGTGGCTTATCCTCCCTCAGCCTCTGTGGCCCACACAGTTGCTCCTTAGATAGGGAGAGGCCATAGCACAACAGGCCCCTGTTTGCAGCTGTCCCCTTGCACTGCAGTGAAGGGGCAAGCAAGACAAATCCTCCAACTAATAAGACAGCAGTTTGGGGTAAGATGGAAATAAGATGTAATCCACTAACGAGAAAGAAACGTGGGGAAACGAGAACCGCAAAATGTCTTCAAGCTTTAAGACCCTGAAAGCCAGCGTTAGCTGCGTTTCACTAATGCAAAGAAAGGAATGCTCAGGGGGAGAAAAAAGAAACAGCGATGTACGGCCTGAAGGCCCGCGAGCATGCCCGCCTGCGGGAGCAGAGCCAGACCGGCCCGTTATTGATGCCCTCGGTCACTGGGCTCGTCCTCGCTGGAGCTGAAGCTCCGGTCACCTCGGAGACCGGCGGCGGGCTGCGCCACCGGGGCGCGAGCCACGCCCGAGC